AACAACATGGTAGTTTTACTTTTTGAGAAACTGTCATAGTTTTTCATAGCAGCTGTACCATTTTACAGTCCTACCAGCAATGTACGAGTTTCCAATTTCTCCACATCCTTGCCAACATTTACAGTTTTCCATTTTTCTGGTAATAGTCATCCTAGTAGGTATGTATCGCACTGTGTGGCACAAATGCTAACCTAAAGGTTGGTGGTTTGAATTCACCTGGTGGTACCATGGAAGACAGACCTCGCAATCTGCTTCTGTTAAGATTACAAACATGAAATCCCTCTGAAGCAATTCTAATCTAAGGTCACCATGAGTCAGTACTGATTCCCATTAACTAACAATAAGAACAACATAATACATTTTGAAATCATGAAATGTGAGTCCTACAACTTTCTTTTTTTGTCAAGACTTTGAAAAAGAAAAGTTTTGCCTTTTCATGGTTCTTGTAATTCCGTATGAATTTGAGGATTGGCTTTTCCATTTCTGAAAAAAAAAAAAAAAACCTTGGAATTTTGATAGGGATTGTGTTGAATGTGTACCTCACTCTGGGTGGTATTGACATCTTAACAATTTTAAGTCTTCCAAACCATGAACACAGAATATCTTTCCATTTATTTAGTTCTTCTCAATGTACAAGTCTTTCACCTCCCTGATTAAATTCATTCCTAGATATTCTTTGGATGCTATTTTCACCATTGCTTTTGTAAAATAAAATAAAAATGAATTACTAGAAAAAAGGAAAAGAGAATAACAAAGATATACAAACTGTAAGCCCAGTGATCTTGTATTTGTATGTCACAGCAGTGTCAAATTTTATAAAACTTTTTATTGCTGTGCATACCATTGAGTCAATTGTGACTCATAGCAAACCTATAGGACAGGGTAGAACTACCCTATAGGGTTTCCTAGGCAGAAATCTTTATGGCAGCAGATCACCTGCCATGTCTTTTCTCCTGTGGAGTGGCTGATGGGTTCAAACCCACTGACCTTTCAGTTAGAGGCCAAACACTTAACAGTTGCACCACCAAGCCTCCTTTTAAAAATTTTAAAATACTCTCAATTTATTTATCTGATTTGGTAACATACAATTCAGGAACTAGCGTGAATCCCTAAACCACACTCTAAGTAGCCCAACTTTAAAAGATACTCCCCCATGTCTCATATCCAACTATCCAGCCTAGAGACTCCATCTCATCATCTTTAAAAGAAACATAGTAGTAGTATCTGTTATGCAGTGTTTTTAGAATTAGAAAGAATAAACAAACTGGAACATGTTGTTACTATGTGTCAGAGAATCAATTCTGACTCATAGCGACCTTATATGACAGAGTAGACCTGTCCCATAGGGTTGCCAATGCTGTAATCTTTACAGGGAGCCCTGGTGGTGTAATGGCTTTTTATTGCTCAGTTGCTAAACCAAAGGTCAGTGGTTCAAACCCAACAGAGATTCCCCAGGAGAAAAGACCTGATAATCTTCTTCTGTAAAGATTACAGTTTAGGAAACATTATGGGGTTGTTCTACTCTGTTCTATAGGGTTACTGTGAATCAGAATCAACTCAGTGGCACACAACAACAACAATCTTCATAGGAGCAGATTGCCAGGTCTTTTCTCTTGTGGAGCTGTTGGTTAGAGGACCAATAATAGGTGATTTTTATTTTCATTATTATTTTGATACTAAATCTCATTTTCATTGTTTCATTTATACAACCCTCTATATAATTTTCATTGAGTTCTTGTGACAGTTTCATAATGAAACATATACAATAATTTTATTAAAATTACTCTTTGCTTATTTATTATTATTTTTATTATTTTAGGACTTTCGAATGCCTTTGCAACAGGAATTAGATTTTTTAAAGAAACAAGATACAGCTGCCAGAGTCATTCAGCAGGCTTGGAAAAGTTTCCTTGTGAGTTTACTTAGTTTTTAGAAGCTTTATTGAGATATAAGTTACATACCATCAGTTTTACCTATTGAAAATGTATAATTCAATGGCTTTTAGTATCTTTACTAAGTTGTATAACCCATTTTAAAAGCAGATATTTTTAAAGTTTCCAAAAGCTACCATTAATTAATTATTTTATTAGCTTCACAGGTATTTATTAAGTTCTTCATCTTGGCCAGATACTTTGACGGTGGTTAGTATTAAGGAGCTCTGGTGGCACAGTGCCTAAGGCATTTGACTGCTAACCAGAAGATTGGCAATTTAAACCCACCAGCCACTCAGTGGAAGGAAGATGGGGCAATTTATTTCCATAAAGTTTTATCATCTCAGAAACCCAAAGAATGTCGTTATGAGTTGGAATCAATTCGATGGCAGTGAGTTTGAGTATTAATGAGAATATCACTAATAAGCACTTTTGGCTTTCACTTCTGATGGCTATATAATCATATTTGTGAGCAGATGCTAGAGACACATCTGTTTGTTATTAAATACTTGTTTATTATGTGGTTGACATGATAATCTGAAACCTCTGAATCTAAGTCATGTTTGCTACTTCCACATCTGCCTCTTGAAATGCTCACTCTGAGTGAAATCAGCTACTATGTAAGAAGTACAACTACCCTGAAATGGCTGTGCTGTGAGGAATTCCAAGTTAGCTTAATGGAAAGACTGCCTACAGAGATTGATGATTGGCCAGTTCCAGCTGTATCAGCTATTCCAGCTCACTTACCAAACTTACCAGTGAAAATATTATCTTTACTTGGGAAGCAGAGGTGGCATGGAAAAACAATCAAGAAAACTGGCTAATAGCTAGAATTGAGGTCCCTGACATATAGCCCCTGTTGAGCCATTCCAGCAATTCCCAACTGTTCAAGCCATCTCAGCTAAAGCTTCAGTCATTGTGGAGCTGACAATACTTCCCAACTATGCCCTATCAAAATTTGTAACCCATAATATTGTGAGTATAATTAAATGGTTGTTGTTTTGCGCTACCAAATTTTGGGGTACTTTGATATGTAGCAACAGATAACCAGAACAGTTAGTTGCATATTCTTTTTGTGGAATAACCTAGAGCTTACAATAATACGTCCTTGACAATTATCAGCTATATTAAGGTAGAACTTTAACTCTTTCCAAAACAATTTAGGAATCTTATAATAGTTTAATTCCATGTATCCCCTTTCCTCTTTTGTGCTTTAATACTCAGATATTTCACTTATACATTTGTTTTAAATCTCTGAAGACATTATTGTTCTTGTTTTAAACAATATTAATTTTATTTAATTACATTTTTTGCTTTTCAGGACTCTTTATTCCTTTCTGAAATTACTTTTTTCTCTATGATATTACTCTCTTCAACTTGAGAAATTCCCTATAGTATTTCTTTTAGGGCAGGCTTCCTGTGAAAAATTCTTTCATTTTTAAACTATTATAAGATTCCGAAATTGTTTTGGAAAGAGTTAAAATTCTAACTTAAGATAGCCAGTAATTGTCAAGGAGGCATATTGTAAACTCTAGGTTATCCCACAAAAAGAATATGCAATTGTTCTGGTTATCTGTTGTTTGTCTGAAAACATCTTTATTTCATTTTTATATTCAAAGAGTATTATCACCATGCATAGAAATCTAGGTTGGCATGTTGTTGTTTCTCTCAGTATCTTTCTTAAAGATGTCATTCCATTCTATTCTGGCTTCTATAGTTTGTACTGAAAAGTCAAGCATTTGTTTAACTCTTTCTACTAATAAACACAAAATTATTATCTTATCATTCAGGAGGTTAAAAGTTCAAAAATGGTCTAATTAGGTTAATATCAAGGTGTCATTAGGTCTGTGTTTTTGCTCAAGGTTTGTATGAGTTTCCTAGGGCTACCATAACAAAGAGTCTTAGTGTGTAGCTTATAAGAACAGAAATTTAGTGTTTTACAGATTGAGAGACTAGTGGTCTGATTCAGGGTGTTGACAGAGCCATGTTCTCTACAAAGGCTCCAGTGGGAGATTCTTTCTTCTCTGTCCTGGCTTTTGGTAGTTTGAGGCATTCCTTGGCTTGCAGCAGAGCATAACTCTGTTGTCACATGGTCATTTTTTTCTCTGTGTCTCTTCTCTTCTTTTGTAGTAAACTACTCAAATTGGATTAGTACCTACCCTATCTGGTATGACCACAGGTAATAAGGGTTATGACTTCAGCATGAAGTATTTGGAAACAATTCAATACATAACAAAACTTTATCGAAGAATCAGTTTTCTTGCCTTTTCCAGCTACTAGAGGCTACCAACATTCCTTGGTTTGTGCCTGTCTTCTATTATCTAAGCCAGCAATGGCCTGTCAAGAATTTTTCACATTGCATCACTCTGACACTGCCTCTTTTGCCGCTCTTTCATTTATAAGGATCCTGTGATTCACTTGGGACCACTGAGATGATCCAGAATAAGGCTGATCTCAAGTTTGATTAGTGTGGTAGTTAAGGTTGTGTGTCAACTTGGCTGGGCCATGGTTTTGAGTGGTTTGAGAGCTGGATGTTGTTATTTCCCGTGATGAGATTATAATCACCTCCATTGTGGAATCTGCTAATCAGTTGAAGGGGAGTTGCTGCTGGGGCGTGGCCTGCTTCCAATATGTATGGTGAAGCTTTGAGAACGGTCTCTAGCTTTTTGGTACATTTGGATCCTGCATTTGGCCAAGTCTTCATCTCCAGTTCCTGGACTTGAACTGTGGCCTGCTGTGTTGTCTGCTGATCTTGGGATTGTGCCATTTTACCTGGTAACCTTGGGTTTGTAAGCCTCAGCAGCCAGCAGCTGCATAAGTTAGAAGAAGCCTCCAGCTCCAGTGGGCCTAGAACAAGAGGCAGACCTGAAGCACAAGGTCAAGGGGCCTTCACCCAATCCCTAGAGCCAACATGCTGAATTTGGACTTATAGCCTCCTAAACTGTAAAAGAATACATTCCTGTTTGTAAAGCCATCCATTTGTGATATTTCTGTTTTTTGCAGCATTAGATAACTAAGACAATTAGCAACCTTAATTTCATATGCAATCTTCCTCCCCCTTTGCCATGTAACATAACATATTCACAGATTCCAGAAACATCTTTTGGGGAGCCATTTTCTGCCTACTGTACCACTATTAACACATCTCATATTTGATTGTAGAGAAATGGGAGAGGAAAAAAAGAAAGGAAAATAATTTGTTAATATTTATATAAAATATATAGAAGAAATGTTCATAAATGCTACCTGTTTCTTCAACTAATTATGGAGTTGTAGCTGGTATTTATAATTTTATTTATCCACTACCAATTCCATATTCCCTTTTTCCTCAGCAAGCAACTCAGCTGGTCATGGTTCCTTGCCTGGTAGGGTGGATCAAAACTTCATTCATAAAAAGTGTAGGCCTTTACCAGTTCTGCCTATATGGGGTTATTGTAATTTTTTATTAACTTTTTTTAATAGAACATGGAATTACTAAGAGGTACCTCAAAAAATTTCCTGAGTTCAAGACACATTTCTTGCTACCCTCACTGGTAGTAACAATTCATTTTCTCCTTGATAGTTAAGATCAATCATCCCAGCCAGTATAATAACTGCCTTGTTTTGCCTTCTTGGTTCACTGGCATGAGGAGCTCAAAATGGCCAGTATTAGCTTCCCTTTTAATGGAGCTATTAGCATGTACTTTGGTGGAAACATTCCTCAAATGGGAACTAAGATCTTTATATCAGCAAAGCCTAAAGTTACAAGGACAGACAGCAAAAATTTCACTAGTGGATACTTAGAGGTAATATTGTGAGAAATGGAACAGTTCTATTCTGTCCTATATGGTCATTATGAGTCAGAATTGCCTCAGTGGGAGTGAGTTTGGTTTTGGTTTTATTGTGAGAGAGCCACCACTTCCATTTTCCATTCCTTGATTTCCAGATTCATAAATGCTGGCTGTGGCAGAAACAGCACCATATATTGGTTGTTGGTTCAGGTTACATACTACAACATGGAGGATATCATCTGAGTCTTCACAGTCTTATTACTGTTACTGTAACTGAGTTTTCAAATGCTATTTCACTCTTCTTTCAGGATGCTTGTTTTAGGAGAAAAAGGTAAGATCAGTGAATTTCATGAGCATGGACCCATTTCTGTACTCCCATTTTCTGTGAGTTGAGTTCCCTGATCAGAAGCAATGCTGTGTGGAATATCATGACAGTAAATAAAGCATTCTGAAAGTACAGAGATAGTGGTTTTTATAGAACCATTGTGCACATAGAAGAGTAAAGTGTCAATTCTGTACTTTTACTTGGGAAAACAGATCTTTCTTTCAGAAAGAGTACTTTTGCATTGAAGCAAGCTGCACTATTTTCCATAGGCTATTGTGATGGTCTCTCAGCTTGTCTTATTGGTTTTATAAATTACTTCTATTTGAACTTATTTTATGTAAGCTAACATAAGGAAACTGGGAAAAAAAGTTTTACCGAGAGTTAGTTAGTTTATTTATTTATTTATTTTAGGACTAGGGTGGTGCAGTGTAGTGAATTACATGGTTTGGCTTTTCTAGCCATAGTCTTTGTAACTCCCACCAGATTACTGGGTTGTTGTTGTTGTTATGTGCCATCAAGTCAGACCCGACTCATAGCGACCCCTCCTTGGGTTTCTGAGGCAGTATCACTACAGAAGTAGA